GTGATAAGGTTGGTGAATGTCGATGATAATGAGGTTGGGTTGGTGATAAGGTTGGTGGCATCAACACGAGAGTCCAGTGTGCTGACTGATGCTTGAGGTGATCCCCAGACCGCAGTGGACTACTGCCTTTGGTTCTATCTATATCCGGACTGCTAACCTGCTATGGGGTGCCTTTGGACATCAGGTAGTGGTGATACAACACACACACTACGATGAGGAGCAACCTTGATAGATTGCTGCTATGCTGACTGAAAACTAATGAGTACTTATGTTTCTAAAGTATTGACTAGTTGTATGGTGAGTAGAGTGGATGAGGATCCACTCAACCTTTGATGATGAGAAAGCATGGTTATATACCTCTTCACAGCATCGCCAGCGATGCTGCTCCTGCTCTCTCTCCAGAGAGTACCTTCTTCATTGAGTACTGTTCAGGGGCCTCTCCTGCTTGCTTGGTACCCCTGTGCCTCTTGAGCTGTGTCGACTCCTTCGACACTGCTCCTCCTCCTTGCTATCCTGCTTGCTTGGCACTCTTGTGCCTCCTGAGTGGTGTCGACTCTTTTGACTCTTGTCTCTCGAGCCCCTGAGTGGTAACCATCTGCATGCTCCTTGAGCTTGGTCCTCTTCATGGCTGTGCCTGCTCCTTGAGCTTGGTCCTCCTCATGGCTGTGTCTGGCCCTCCTCACATATGGCTCGATCCTCCTTTGCATGTGAGTCCATAGGAGTCCATGGTCTCCATGGAGACTGCACTATGACCATGCTCTCTACTGGTATCGACTAGATCTTCGATACCTGTGCTCCTTCCATATGAACCAGTGACCCTCCTGCTTCTTGAGCCTTCAGGCCCATGACAGTAGTCTTCGAGGCCACAAGGTTGGTGCAGTCTTTAAAGGCATGTTTGCCCTTGCAGTGCATGCAGAGGTGGGGCCAGGAACACTTAGCATCATGACAGCTGGAGTTGTTGAAGCAGAAACACACCTCTCCACCAGCGACAGGGCATGGTCCTTTGGGACTGGAGGGCAGCTGGGAGGCTGCAGGGGTGGTTTTGGTGAAGGCAGAGCTGGGGATGATCCACTGAGGAGCTTTGCCGAGTTCTTCCTGCCATGCATTGAGGTCCTTCTCAGTCCAGTTGCTGGCACTGGCAAAGCCAAAGCATCAGCAACAGACAGCAAGTATGTATTCTGCAATGGCAGGCCAGAGGAAGGTGATGTCCAAGTTGAGAACATGGACAAGGAAGGCACTGAGACTGGCACTAAGGCGAGAGTCATTTGTGCAAGTGCAGTGAAGGGAAGTATACACTGCCCAAGCTTGGGCAAAGCTTCGAATGTCCAGGAGGAGGTGGAGGAAGATTTTAGAGGAGGAAGCAACAGCAACAGGCTCTGGTACAGTGACACAAACACCAATGACAAGGACACCTGGTTCCATGTCTTTTGAGGTTGGCACCTTTGCAGGGTTGCACAGTTTCCCAAGGTCATGTGGAGGGAGTCAGTCATTGTAGACCAGCTGGGCCATGTCCCTGGAGATCCACAGGAAGAGTTGTCGGAGTTGCAACTCACCAGAAGGCTGGGCAGGGCCTGGGAAAGACTGTGCCACTGTGGGAGTTCGTGTGGTGGGCAGGGTGGGTGCTGGTGGGACTGAAGTGGGAACAGTGGTCAGGGGTGTGGTAGAAGTGTTGAGATCATGGTGGAGGGCTTGAAGCAGGTGGTGGAGATCAGCAATAGACCCAGCCAGCTGAGAGATGGTGTCGGCCTGACTGTCCAATCATGTGAGAGTGGCATTGGCAGTGACCAAGGCATCATTGTGAGTTGTGGTGGTGGGCAGCAGGGTCTGGAGGGGAGTGAAGTCTGAGGGGTTTCCTGTGTGGGTGTTATCCAAGGTGTTATGTTCTGAGTTGGTGGGGTCTGAGTTGGTGGGGTCCAAGGTGGTGGGGTCTGGGAGGTTGTTGCTGAGGCCTGAGACAGGAGTGGGGGCAGTGAAGGAGAGGAGTGGCATGGGTTGGGAACATCGACAAGTAGCACAGTGCACACAGGGGCAGTTGTGGAGACTGACAAAGTGGTTGGGGGGGTAAGACTGTCCACAAGAGGAGCAGGACTGGGAGGCAGTCATGCCAGGAGGTGTGTATGGGACAGGGGTGGCCGAGTCGGTGATCGATGGTGGCGACAAAGGTGAGGAGAGGGGAGTAAAAGTGAGAAGGTTGAGGAGGGCGAGGATGAGGAGAATGAGGAGGAGGAGAGAGGAGGACAGTGATGAGAAGAGGCAGGGTTAGTGAAGAGGAGTTACAAGAAGAGTCGAGGAGGAGAGTCGAGGAGGAGAGTCGAGGAGGAGAGTCAAGGAGAAGAGTCAAGGAGGAGAGTCAAGGAGGAGAGTCGAGGAGAAGAGTCAAGGAGGAGGAAAAGGAAGGTTTTTAGCAAGGTTGGTGTTGCACGACTTTTGCGAGAAGAGGAGATGGTGGTAGGAAAGAGAGAGAGTGAGGAGTGAAATGGAGCTTATATATACAAAATGAGTGGCTGAGTCGGTTTGTGACAATGCGGAGCAAAACAAAGCATCTGACTGAGTAGGTTGTGACACGTGTGGCCTGTGCTCAGAAGCGCATGCCAAGTCACATGCAGCAAAATTGTGCTTTGAAGAAGAGCCGAGAATTTTTTTTTATTGTGGGACAGTTTATGGAGCACTCCTCGACAACACCTTAGTACTTTGTATTCCCTCCTTTGGCCTTCAGAACCACCTTGATGCAGTCTGGCATACTCTCTATTAGGTTCCTACATGTCTCTGGAGTGATCACTGCCTATTCAGCCTTGCATCTCTTGAGCAGTTCATCCCTGGACTTTGCAATTGTACTATACTGTGAAAGTCACATTTTGAGATGGTGTCAGAGGTGTTCAATCAGGTTTAAGTCTGGTGACTGCACTGGCCATTGCATAACCTTAATGCTATTGCTTGCCAACCACATTGTTGTCTTCTTTGACAAGTGTTTTGGGTCATTGTCTTGCTGAAAAGTGATGTCAGTATATGCATGCTGAAGCTGCAAATCTGAGATTGTTTTCAAAAGCTTGTCATTCAAGATATCAATGTATTGGTCTGAATTCATTGAACCCAGCACCAAGCACATACCTCCCACCCCTTCCCACATCATACAGCCCCAGATCATGATGGAGCCACTGCCAAACTTGATTGTTGGCCTGACAAGCTTGCTGGTGAAGCCAGTATTCTTAATCCAACAGAACTGCTTACCATCCAGTCCAAAGAAGTTGATCTTTGTCTTGTCAGACCATACCACCTTCTTCCAATCCTCAACAGTCATGTACTTGTGCTCATTAGCAAATTTGCAATGGGCTTTGAAATGTCTCTTGAGTAGCTTTGGTTTTTTCACCAACCTCTGTGCTTTGTAACAACAATAATGAAATGCTTTTCTTACTGTGGTTGGGCAAGCTTTGACTTGGAATGTCTCCTGCAGTGCATGACATGCTTTCCTGACCAAGGAGGTGGAATTGAGCTCAAAATAGTGGTCCAGGAAGTGAACATGATGAGGCTGGAGTTTTCTCAGCCAGCCCCCCTTTGACTTTGGAACATCAGCAGAGGTGCTTTTGCTGATGTGATTCACAGTAGACTTGCTCAAACCAAGTTGCTCAGCAACTGAATGGGTAGATTCCCCATTTTGGAGGTGAAAGATTGCCAATTGGCACTTCTCTGGGGTGGTTTCCAGCATGATGGTATAGATATGATGGTGTCAGATTGGAAGCACTGCCAGATTACTCACAGTCATCTGATTGAGCTGAAACTTTCCATGTCACTACTTTCGATGTGTATGAAGGCACCCACCAAGTTACATTGCAAGTTACATTGTAGTCAAAAGCCCACAAGGTCAGGAATGGAGCAGTGTCGCTATTTGGGGGCATGCTCCATAAACTGTCCCACAATAAAAAAAATTCTCAGCTCTTCTTCAAAGCACAATTTTCTCAGTCAATGTCAATATCAATTACACAGTCTTGGAGAGAAGAAGCAGGGCTTTCAGACAATATGAGACAGTGTGGCAATACAACTTATGGCTATTGAGCATTAGAGTGATGTATGGTGACATGTAAAATCGTGGGACAGTTTATGCATGAGCTGTAGTATAGTGTTTTAGCTCAAAAGCTTGGACACCGTACTTAGACTGAAATCTCCCAATAAGTGTCAATAAGAGTTAAATCTTCCAACATTTCATACTTCGCTATACTTCAACTGATGGTGTTTTGGAAAGCGGTCTGCTGAAGGGGCTTTTCATTTTCATTTCATTTTGCGATTTTGGTGCGAGTCTTGCTCAATGTCTCGAGCTTTGGTCAGCGCCTTCATCTTAAGGAGACAACTAAGATAGCCTCACCTCAAGCAGTTGCATGGCTTCTGTATCGATACAAGTGCAAACATTCGCATTTGTCTCACACACGGGTGGTAAAGGAAGAGCGAGTTCAAAGGAGTGTACCACACTCCTTCCCTGCCGAAAAGCGTCTTTGCTTACCACTGCAGACGACCGTGCGATAGAGCTGGTCTGTATTTGCGGGACAAGTCGGGGTCAATCGGCACTCCTTTTGGCTGATTGGTCCAGCTGCAAGGGGAGACGGCGCAAATCTGATCTGATAAAAGTGCATGATTGGATGTGCAGCTCAGTCTCTGGAGTTGAAAGAGGAGCACAAAGCACACGACTGAAGAGTAGACAAGCACGCAAGACTGCTCGCTCGCTCGAGTCTAGTGTCGCAGTGTGCTGAAAGAGTGCCGGCTGGAAAAAGGCCGATAAGATGCCTCCACAAAAGCAGCGCAGAGTGTGACTTGCATAAGACTCGCCTCAGTCAGGGTTATAGATAGCACTTGGCCCACATCAGCATACTCACACTTCCTTATCTCACACCACCACCACCACCACCACCTTTCTCACCATCTAGCACATATAGCCTCACGCAAGCTCTGAACTCCTTACTCTGAAGGTCTGTAGCTAAACAAACCAGAGACTCAAGGAAACCTCGCACAAGATGCTCTCGCGAATAGCGCGGTTGAGGCAGCTGCGTTTGCAACCCACCGCAACACCCATCACCAGTGGTCTACGTGGCTATGCAACACCTGTCAATCCTTCCAGCTCCGTCGATGCACTTTTAGGTACATCTGTACCACCACCTCCGAGAGAAGGTCAAGAATTTAGCTCAGCACCCGGTACTTACAGCACACCTTCCCGTTTCGGCAGCAAGGACCCTAACGACATCTCCGACCTCCTTCATGGCAATTCTCGACAGCGTGATCCCACTCATGGCTCATTTTCGAACAATGGCCGTACCAGAGAGAGCATCCTTGCCGATCTGCAACGCTTCAAAGGAACAGCCATCGGTGCGGAGCGCAAAGGCATTCCGATCCCATCCCGCGATGAGATGCTAGAGGAAATGTTCAAACGTCCTCTACGGGAGCTGGAGGAGCGGCGAAACATTGCTGATCGAGAGCATCCTCACCCCATTGATGCACTCTACGGGAGGAATGAATTGGATGAAAGAGTGCTGGCTGCTGCGAGGGCGCTCTATGCCGCTTCTACCAATCCTAGCCCTCGGTCGAAGGATGCAGCAGACACATACATGGCTGCATCAATAGGAAAGTTGGTGGGGAGATTCGAAGCGAGATCAGGGTACCAGCTATCGATTGAGCTTCCGTACGAGTCTACACCTTCGGAAGAACGTAAAGTGCCTTTGACATCTGCTCATAGTTCGGAGGCGGAACTAGAGGAAGCGAACGACGATGGAGTGTTGCTCCTGGCCTATGTTTCGAATTTGAATGGAGCAAGAGGAACAGAGCGCATCAGTGTCTGTTCAGGATTTGCCGTGGAGGGTGGGGATAAGATTTCGGCAGAAGATGGAGATGGGAAAGGGGCGTTAGTCGTCTCGTGTGCGCATACTTTGCGAGCTGCTGAAGCATTTAAGCCAAAAACAGAGGCTAACTCCTCGTCCAACACCGACACGGAACCATCAGCATCTGTGTCATCGGACAGCATCGCACTTGCCATCACCCGCACTGGCGCCATCTATCCAGTACGAAACCTCATCTCCAGTCTCCCCACATCCGACGTCATCCTCCTCCAACTCGGCACAACACCTCTCACCCTCAACGCGAGCTCGTCACCTACTCAACCCATCCGTACACTCCCTGTCTCACCCTACCCTGCACACGTGAATAGCGAACTCAGCGTCTCCTCCTTCTGGGGCTGGGAAGACGATTCCGGCGCCATCCTTCCCGCTTATACCTACGATTACGATCAACAGCAACTCTCCCTCTCCCCTCCCTCTTCCTCCTCTTCTGCCCCACCAGGAAGGGAAAAAGAGCAAGTCAAACTCGAGAGAGACGATGCGGGCAGAAGTCGCTGGGGCCGAGCACGCCTAGTGGAATACAAAGACCCTTGTGGAGCGAGTGCTATGGTTGGCACATACGACGAATTAGCCCAACTAGACTACAAACTCTTAGTTTCCTCCCCAGCTAATCCACCAGCACTACAAGGAGATTACGCGTTAAGGCTGTCGAGTACTGTTAGTGAAGCGAGCCGACCAGCTTCACTCGCTAATGGTTCTGGTGGAAGCGGAGCAGGGGAAGAGAGTGTGGTGGGCAGCCAGACGAGAAAGCCATTGCCGAACTTCCCTCCTCCCGGATCAAGCGGTGGGCCGGTAGTTGATGTAGAATCGGGTAGTGTGGTGGGGATCGTCAGAGGACATAAGATGAGTTCTTTGGAGGGAAGGAGAGGGGATGCTGTGCCGGCGGAGAAGGTGTTTGAATGTAAGTTTCCCTCCTCCCTTTACCTTTTTGAGCTTATTGAGATGAGTTGACACTCACTTATTTTGGTTTCGTTTTTGATGATGATCTCGGTGAAACAGTCTTTGCTCTTCCTGGCCTCGGGAGGAAGAACTAAGCAGAGATACTCTTCAAACACAGGCACACAAGCACACTTGCATACGATTGATACACGCATTTGCAATTTCATCTTTTTCATTCTTTTACAGGCGGTTGATAGTGAGCAGGCATGCTTGAGGGTGCTCTACGTCTTGCGGACCATCTTGAGCTGTTTCGAGCAGCAGTCCGGATCTGTTCGATATCGTTCCAGAGGAGCTTTGAGCTGCGGTTCGGAGATCAAAGCTTGCAGAAAGCACTGATGCTCGCTACGCCTGTCATTCGTCATCCCACAAAAGAGGAGTTTTTTGTTAGCGTCGCCGACTCTTTTCACCACACATCACACCTTTCTGTACATGATACTTACCTCCAAGCCACAACCCACCCTTCTCCTTATCCCAAAGAGCGGTAGTAGCACCGCTCATCCCAGTTCCATCGTCCTCGAACATTTTCTCCACATTCCACTTCTTCCCGTAGAACCTATCGTTCCCTGTGTTCGCGCTGATCTTGAGCACTGTACTGGGCGACTTTTTGTCATACGGATCAGCAAACTTAGCCAACAACTTCGGGACATTAGGGAAACAAGCTGCGTAGATATTATCGTCTTCATCAACGGTGAGATTGTCGGAAGGATATCCGATATGAATGACGTCGATGAGAGTAAGGGTGTTGTCGGATTGAAGTTCGAATACGCGGATTGCGGGTGCGGCTGATGCGGGGACGTAGAATCGGTTTGCGTGTTTGTGGCTCCTGACGATTCCGTTGGGGTAGGGGAAGGGGCCGGGGTTGGCGATTTTGCATCCGGTCTTGTCGCAAAAGCCGAGGTCACTTCGGGGGAGAAGGAAGTCGAGTTTCCTGCCAAGTCCGGTTTTGGTCTTGTGGTCGTTAGTAAAGACGAAACTGTCCGGTCCTACTGCTGCGGGGCGGTTGGGAGTCCTAATCGCCTCCCCTATATACGTTCGGATGTGTCGCATTCTGCCATCGCCGAGGGTAGTTTCGAACAGCTCGAACGTCGAGTTGGCTCCCATCTTGGTCGCATCCAAAACAGTCTTGGTCACGGGGTCGATCGGTGGTCTATGATTGTTCAAAAAGATCCTCAACGTCGGCTTCAACTCTGCACTCTTGGCCGGGATTTCATACACTGAAATACCGTGCAGATTAAGAGTTCCCGTATACGAGGTCGGCTTGACCGTGGTGATCCTCGAAGCGATCGGACCGGTCGCCTTAGTGTCCAAGATAGCAACATAATCCGTATTAGGCCTTCCACTAACATCCAGGGCGTCGATCGCAGGAGTCCAAGCCATACGGCCTTTGATGTCGGAACAAGCGAGGTAGAGCAATCCGGAGGGTCGGTGAAGCCACATATCTTCGCATGCTTCGAGTTCGGGGATGGAAGTACAGGTGTGTGTGGTGAAGTTTAGGGGTCGTCCGAGACCGAATACGTCGTGAGATTTGGTACCGGGGCCGGAGAGGAATTGGACTGCCAGAACGCCGAGGGCGATGGGGATTCCGAGGTAGGTCAGCAGTCGCGGCATCTTGGAAACGAAGAGGGTGAGCGCGGGTGGGCGCCGAGGAGGGTATGGATGGTGAGTTCGGATGGTGGATACAAGGTAGGGAAGGGCGGAAGTTCAACGAGCGGGAATGCTGTTGTAAGTGGGTTGCACAGACCACACGCAAAGGCTTTCATTAACGGATTATCGTGATAGCCGTCCATGTGACTGGCGGGTTGACAGGTTGGGGGTAACAAGCCACAATAATGACGGCTGCTGCTGCGGTGGACACTGGCTTTTCAAAGGTGTCCGCTTCACCTCAACATTTGCCTCAAACTCGCAAAGCGCACAGGACTTGCGTCTAGGCAGGTTTGCATGCTATGCAGATCTTGAAATGCTTTCCCCGCATTTCATCTGCGTTTCCTTCTGTTCAGGAATGTTAAGCCGAGAGGATGTAATTTTGAAGACGGGCTTGAGAGCGTGTGGAGGCGGAGATGCACGGTAACGCTGTCATTCAGCGCCGACTGAAGGACAAGCAAGCGAGTCAGCTTGAGATGAAATGCCGTCCTTCACAGCGCTCTCTTCGCCAAGAATGGCACAACCGATCCTGTGCTGGCGAGAAGAAAAGTGTCTGGTACAGTCCCTTCCCGAAGTTTGGGGACAGGGTTCAATAGACAATCATTCAACTTGTGTGGTAGCATACCTTCCAGCCACTTGGACAACTGATGTCTCATAAGTGTCAGGCTGTATGAAACACACAATGAGCAAGTCTGAAAGAAGGGCTTTTGATTGCAGTGAGTCTCAGAGCTGACTAATACTTGAGTGGACCTCCATGCTTAGTAAGCACCTGCTCCATGTGCAGCTCCATCAACTCAATCACAGGGTTGATATGTTCAAGCATGATCTGTGTGTTCCACACTTCCTCTGCAGCTCTTGCAAGCTCATCCCAGGTTTTTGGTACCAGTGAGTGCTTACCAAGCAGATTTTTGAATACATACCGTATGTTCTCAATAGGATTGAGATCCGGCAAAACTGGCAGGTGTGTCAGCGGTTGTGCACCTGAAACCCAAAATCTGTGGTAAAAGGCAACTATGACTAATCTTGGCAAGATCTGTTGTAAAAGCCTTCTATTGTTATTCTTGCTGGAATCTGCTGTAGAAGCCTTCTATGACAGTTCTAGCTCAAATAGATTGTAACTAAAGGTTATTGTAAGCGGTCGCGCACCAGAGACTAGTTTTGGGTGTTATTCAATTGGTATGAAGGGATTGATTGAGTAAGGTCTACTTGGTATGTTTCGACTAAATGTAACCAGACATCTCTGACTGGTAAGTCTCAGCTGATTGCCTTGAACACTCCATTCAGAGGTTGCACAGCATGTACACTGTTTGTTGGAGAGTGAGTGATACCCTCTCCCTACAGTATGAGTGTTTGCAGTACTGTTGATAATGCTCTTGGATGTTGTCTGGACTGCAATATGTTAATTGCCTACAGAGAACAGGAGTTACTGGACCACAGGTGTGAGTCACTGCCTACAGCAAGGGACTGGACTGCAAGTGTTGAAGAACACTGCCTACAGTAAGGGACTGGACTGCAAGTGTTGAAGAACACTGCCTACAGTTGAGAACTGGACTGCAAGTGTCTGGAAGACACTGCCTACAGTTGACACCTAATGGTGATACAACACACATGTTTGAGGGTCATTGCAAGAGCACTGCTTATTGCAATGGTATGAAACTAAGAGTCAAGTAAGTAAGTAGGTAAGTAGCATGTAGAGTGGATGAGGATCCACTCATATGCTATGGTGGAATGAGAGTATTTATGCATTTGATTGGTGTTGCCTGCAACACCTATCCCATTCCCCTTGAGGGGCCTTTGTCCCCTGTTCAACACTGTCTCTCCTACTGGCATTGATCCCATTGATGCTGCACCCCTACTGTCTGCACAGCATACTGGTTATGCAACACTGTCCTTTCACCTTCATGCTCCCTTTCCACTTGATGATGTGTGATGACCCCTTTGACACAGCTCCTCCTCTTCATTTAACCAATCCATTCACTGCTTCCTTCTTTCTTCACCAGTGACCACCTTCCCATCCTTATCTCATGAATCCCCTTAGCCACCTGTTGGACCTCATGACCAAACACCTTGGTCATGTGGTTGCCCCCTGTGCTTGGTCCTGTGTGGCTATACACATGCACCCCTCAAGCAGTAACTGTCTGTGTGATGCTGAGCTTGGTCCCCCACTCCTACATGTGGTTATCTCCATGTGATTCTCCTTCTAATGCCAGTACCTTCCTTCCTGAATCTCCTTATACTTGCTCATATTGGCTGACTTGCTGAGGCATGCTGATCTGATCGATCCTCATGAGATTAACCCAGAACCCAGAGTTTGGTTGATTTCATAAATCATATGCACTACCAGCCCAATTAGCTTCATCAATTCCTGATGACTTGGCACCAATCAATTTTGTGTACCCTTCATATGTTGATCCATTGATCCTGCAACATTACCATGAATGCCATCAGTCAATTTGGCGCACCCTTCTTGCGCTGGCCCGCTGGCCCTGTGACAGTTATCACAGATTTTGACTGACTGCTGGGGACACTCCGTCCATATGTAGCTTGGCACAATCAATGTCCAATAGTTTAACTGAGATGACACCAAGGTCTGGTGCAAATGTGTTTGCTTTGACACAAGTGTCCAGTGTGTCAATGAGTTGGTTGATTGATCCCTGAACTGCAGTGGACTACTGCCTTCTGTCAGCGGTCGCATGCCTGAAACCTGAGATCGGTAGTAGTGTCGATACTATTGCCGATTCTGTCGAGTTATGTGACAACACTAGTGGTATTTCGATTCTCAGTGAAATTTGTGATAGAGCCAACTCTATCACTTTTCTCGCTCAAATCTGTAGTTGTAGTAATGCTATTGCAGATTTTGACTAACTGCTGTGGACACTCTGTCCAGAGGTAGCTCGGCATGATCAATATCAATACATTGGTGGTGATCTTGTGATGACACCAGGGTCTGGTGTGAGTATCTTGTTGATGATGAGGTTGGTGGCATCAACACAAGTGTCCAGTGTGTCAACTATCGCTTGAGGTGATCCCTGGACCACAGTGGACTACTGCCTTTGGTTCTATCTTAATCCAGACTGCTGGTTTGCTATGAACTGCCTTCGGACATCAGTGAGTGGTGATACAACACACACACTACAATGAGGAGTCACCTATCAATTACTACTATGCTGACTGAAAACTAATGTATACTTATGCTGAAGTGATAACTAGTTTATATGGTGTGTAGAGTGGATGGGGATCCACTCGACCACTTGTGATGAGAGGGTATGCTTATATACATCCATCATAGTGTTGCCCATGACACTGCTCCAGCCCTCTCTCTCCAGTGAGTACCTTCTTCATCGAGTACTTTACAGGGGGTCCCTGTAGTACCACCCCTGTTCTCCTTGAGCTATGTGTCAACTTCCCTCAACACTGCTCCTCTTCCTCATGTCCTGCTTGCCAGTGTCCCTGACACAGCTCTCCTTCTTTTGACCAGTGACGGTCCCTTTGACTCCTATCTTGTGAACCCCTGAGTGGTAACTGTCTACATGCTTCTGAGCTTGGTCCCTGTCTTGGCAGGGCCTGGTCCTCGTCTTGGCAGAGCTTGGTCCCCCTTGTATGTGAGCTTGGTCCTTCTTGCATGTGAATCGTCATATGGACATCCTTATTACTGATCTCTGTGGAATCTGCCATACCATCAAGCTTACTGTGGATTCTGGTGGAATTCATGATATCAGCATTGCTTGTGCAGATCTCGATGAGATCTGTCATAGCACTGTTCCTACTACAGATCTCACTGAATTCTGCTACAATTCCCACAATCTGCCCGATCCATCGATTCCTGCACTCCCTTCATATGAACTGATGGGTCTTCCTGCTTCCTGCGCATTCAGGCCCATGACACCTTCAGTATGAGATTGAGAGAGCTGGACCACAGTATGAAACCACCTTTGGTATTGATCAATATCCAGATGTCAGGGGTCTCGCGCCTGAAACCCAGGTCGGTCTGTCGAGATACTCGGTGACTATCAAACTGTGCAACAGCTATTGTCTCAGTATTGGTCTTGACGAGTTAGTTGCTTGGTGACTATCAAGTTGTGCGATGGGTGGCATTCAGGTATATACTATCGTAGGTTTCGGCTGACCTCTGTGGACACTCCATTCAGGGGTAGCTCGGCATGATCAATATCAATATGTAGGTTGTGATGACACCAGGGTCTGGTGTGAGGGTTGATGATGATGAGGTTGATGGTGTTGGTGATAAGGTTGGTGAATGTTGATGATAATGAGGTTGATGGTGTTGGTGATGAGGTTGGTGGCATCAACACGAGTGTCCAGTGTGTTGACTTGATGCTTGAAGTGATCCCTGGGCTGCAGTGGACTACTGCCTTCGGTTCTATCTGGATCCGGACTGCTAACCTGCTATGGGGCACCTTCGGATGTCAGGTAGTGGTGATACAACACACACACTACAATGAGGAGCAACTTTGATAGATTGCTGCTATGCTGACTGAAACTAATATATACTTATGCTGAAGTGATAACTAGTTATGATGGTTGTGTAGAGTGGATGAGGATCCACTTGACCTTTGATGATGAGAAAGCATGGTTATATACCTCTTCACAGCATTGCCAGCAATGCTGCTCCTGCTCTCTCTCCAGAGAGTACCTTCTTCATCGAGTACTGTTCAGGGGCCTCTCCTGCTTGCTTGGTACCCCTGTACCTCTTGAGCTGTGTCGACTCCTTCGACACTGCTCCTCCTCCTTGCTATCCTGCTGCTTGTTTGGCACCCTTGTGCCTCCTGAGTGGTGTCGACTCCTTCGACACTGCTCCTCCTCCTCATGACCTGGTGTCGACTCCTTCGACTCTTGTCTCTCGAGCCCCTGAGTGGTAACCATCTGCATGCTCCTTGAGCTTGGTCCTCCTCGTGACTGTGCCTGGCCCTCCTCACATATGGCTCGGTCCTCCTTTGCATGTGAGTCCA